GGAAGAAAATAATGTAAAGAGCGTTTCAGTTGAAGATAAAAATCAAGATATTTCTGTAAATGTATTCGTAGATGATAAATCGATACGATTTAAAAATGATGTAAATAGTACAAATCAACTGGAAGTGGCGGATATTAGTACAAAAAAAATTGAAGTAGCGCCATATCTGCAACAAAATTTGAAAGATTGCGGGGAAGCAATTCAATTAAGTTCTAGCAAAAATGATGAAATATATAATTGTAGAAAAAATGAAGACACATGCAAATCTCATATTAATAAAGATTTAATGGATTCTGTTGCTCAGAATATTGGAGCAATTGAACAAGTGCACGACAGTGATATTGACGATAATGATAAAAATGACGCTGATAAAACATCAAAGGATTTTATTACTGACGCTATTACTGAAACTGTTGTTACTGAAACTGCCGTTACTGAAACTGCTGTTACTGAAACTGCCGTTATCGAAACTGCTGTTACTGAAATTGCTGTTACAGAAACTGCTATTACAGAAACTGCTGAATCTGTTAAAATCAAAGAGACGACTGCTGATATTGAAAGTGTCACTAAAATCAAAGAGTCAGATGATTCTAATAATCAATTCGAAAGTGCTACTAAAATAGACATTCCCAATATTGAAAGTGTCGTTGAAATCACAGAGGTGAATAATTTTAATATTGATAACAGTATCCATAAAATTGATGGCGATGAATTAAAAACTTCTACCGCTAAAGTTGTTACAAAAGTGGAGGCTGTGCTTAATTGTGATATTGAGGATAGAGATAAAAGTCAAGCGCCAATCGAAAGCGAAACTTTTCATCAAATGTCAAGTAAGAGCAACGTCGAAACGTGCCTCAACGATCATAATTATGTTCAGAGTCCTTCTATCGATGTCTCGGATCTCGGTGCAACGAAAAAGTCGCCTTTGAAGTCGGAATGTGGTGAAGCTGTTCCGGAAACAACAACAACAACAACGTCAAAGGAAACGAAAGCGGAAAAAATCAATGTTCAATCGGTCAATAGTGTTAAGAGAACAGTGTCGTCTACAGTGAAGAATAAAAAAGACCAGCAGAGCAAAGGGATATTAATTTCGCATCGTCGAAAAGCCGTGATACTGAGCGACAGTAACGCGTCTATGACCGTCTTGATGAACGCGAACGTAGCGAAAACGTCTTCTATCATTAACA